CGAAACGCTCGTTTTGGAGACTTGACGCGCAACCCTCTGCGGAGACCGTGCGTGTCGAGTGTGCGAAATGCAGGCGAGAGTGCGATTTGTCCCATGCGCGTGCAACCCTGTGCGGAGATCGCGCGTGTCGTCTGCGCGAAATGCAGGCGAGAGTGCGATTTATCCGGTGCCCGCGCCACCCTCTGCGGAGATCGTGCGTGTCGAGTGCGCGAAACGCAGGCGAGAGTGCGATTTGTCCGGTGCCCGCGCAACCCTCTGCGGAGATCGCGCGTGTCGAGCGCGCGAAACGCAGGCGAGCACTGTCGACTTTGTAGTACAACTTTAGTACGCGGAGTCTCTGGGGAGCTGGAAGATGAGAACTGGTGACTTGGTAGTACAACTTTAGTACGCGGAGCAATCTGTGGAGCTGGAAGCTGAGAACTGGCGACTTTGTTTCAACTTTAGTACGCGGAGCAATCTGTGGAGCTGGAAGCTGAGAACTGGCGACCTTGTAGTACATCTTTAGTACGCGGAGTATCTGGGGAGCTGGAAGAGTGTCCCACAAGAGTGTCCCGCAAGAGTGTCCCGCAACAGTGTTATAGTAGAGTGTCTCACAAGAGTGTCCTACAGGAGTATCCCACAAGAGTGTCCCACAAGAGCGTCCCACAAGAGTGTCCCACAAGAGTGTCCTAAAAGACTGTCCCACAACAGTGTCCTACAAGAGTGTCCCACAAGAGTGTCCCACAGAGGGTCCCCCACAAGAGTGTCCCACAAGAGTTTCCTACAAGAGTGACCCACAAGAGTGTCCTACAAGAGTGTCCTACAAGAGTGTCCCACAAGAGTGTCCCACAAGAGTGTCCTACAAGAGTGTCCCACAAGATTTTCCTACAAGAGTGTCCCACAAGAGTGTCCCACAAGAGTGTCCCACAAGAGTGTCCCACAAGAGTGTCCCACAAGAGTGTCCCACAAGAGTGTCCCACAAGAGTGTCCCACAAGAGTGTCCCGCAACAGTGTCGCTCAAGAGTGTTTCACAAGAGTGTCCCACAAGCGTGTCCCACAAGAGTATCCCACAAGAGTGTCCTACAAGAGTGTCCCACAAGAGTGTCCCACAAGAGTGTCCCACAAGAGTGTCCTACAAGAGTGTCCCACAAGATTTTCCTACAAGAGTGTCCCACAAGAGTGTCCCACAAGAGTGTCCTATAAGAGTGTCGTGTAAGAGTGTCCCACAAGAGTGTCCTTCAAGAGTGTCTCACAGGAGTGTCCCACAAGAGTGTCCTACAAGAGTGTCCCACAAGAGTGTCT